TAACTTAAAATTATTAAAAGTATAATGTGAAACTGTATTGAATTTTTTAGCTTTTTGGACTCGTTTCAGTTTTTTCCTTCTTCATGTTGTCGCGTTTATATTCAGTGATCTTTGGCTCATTTCCTTTAAAATGATTTGTCGACTTTGAATCGGCCACTTCCTCTCAACGGCTGCATGCATCGCAAACTCTGCAAAGTTCGTTCATAATGAGTCACATCACACCTCGATAATAATCCATATTTACGGTCACATGGGGTCAATTTGATTCCAAACCCAAAGAATTACGCTCCAAATTAAACAATTAAATGCTAATTATTGTAAAATTATTCTCTGGCATGCAAGTAAAATTGAGCAGTCAAATTATTGATAGATTACGGCTTTAAATGAGGCTTTCAAATGAAGTTCTTAAACCAGAGATTTAAAAAAAAACGTTAGAGTCAATTTGACACAATGTTACCTATTAGGATTAGTAATTAAGAAAAAAAACTCACCAACGATCGCGCCTTTCGCCTGTTGATCTAATGGATTTACAACAGCTGATTTTTTATCTTTAGTCCTTGGAGCCTGCCCTGTCAATGTGCATCCCATCATGGCGTCGTGGTTAAAAACTCCTTCTAACAACCTTCTTGCCAAATGCGTTGATTTATGAGAAGCTCCTAGCGCTGAATCATAAATTATTTTTCGGCAGTAAACATTATTTCCTATGTTTTTCATCTAAAAAATTTATTTATTTAAAAATAAATGGTAGTATTTATTAAAAATAGCATTATTTTTTTACTATCACTTAAATACCCTGATTAAGAAATCTAATTTGAATCGATTTAAAACAATTTGAATTAATTTAAAAGCATCTAATTTGAGTACTTTATAGATATACATTTAACATGGAGGTTATCATTTTAAATCATATTTCTGAATGACGGTACATAAATGAACATGAACTCAGTATTCATTAATGAAATTTCATCAATATTTACACATAAATTATACGTACGTTCGCTGAATCATAATCAAATAAAATATAATAATAAAATATTTAGGTTTAATTTTATTTTAATCATAAAGTCAACTTACATTCTTTGAAATCTTTTGTTTTTTCGGAGGTGGTGAATTTTCTGGACTCCAGCTTCTCTTTGGCATCGATTTCGTTTCGAACGATTAACACCAGCTGTTACTTTCTTTTTTTGTTTGATTGTTTTATTGAAATCTTGCCTTCGTTTTTGTAAAAAATCGGAATTACCTATAGATATTAAATATTAATTATTGTATGTAAAAAAATAAATGGTTATTCATCAAATCTAATGGACTATTACAAATGAGAATTATTCATATATGACAGAAATGAATCTAATATTTAACAAATATTTTGGAAAACTTCACACAAAGTAATTAAAAAAATATGAAATTTATTTAAAGAATATTTCACCAGGAGTAATGTATTTACTTAAAAAAAATATTGTTTTCAAATGTTAGCAAATTCAAGTTTTTATAAATGTTAAAAATAATAATATAACCTTTATGTCGATAAACAAAAATAATTAAATATCTTACTTGAAAAGTCGATCACTTTTCCTTCATATTGTCGTTTCTTCATATTGAATTTAGTAATATCATCTTTAACCAGCTCGTGAGGTTTTTTGTTGTCATCATTATCGATGATATAGGCGCAATCATTGATATAATACTTACATAGATGAGTAATTACCGCCTAAAATCGTTGCTACTGCACATATGTCCACAGGCATATGCGTAGCAAACGTCAATTCATTATTCAATGTGGCGTCAACCGAGTTGAACATAGCGACACATGACAGTAACAATCGCCAAAATGGCTAAATGCGTAGTGAAAGAATGCGATTCAAGGTCACAAAACATTAATAAATCATGCGGAATTACTTTTCACGTGTAAGTTTATGGTTTTTGTATTGATAATATCGTAAATAAGGCTATAATTGAAATAAAACACTGATAATTGTAATCTAGAATCAGTGTTACCATTTAAAAATCATTTTGGTTTTCCCACATTAGTGGGAGAATTTATAATTTATGAAATAATATGCTTTATACTGTTTTTAAACATTTTGCCAATAATAATAAAATATAGGAAGAACGGTAGTTGTTAGGGCTGGACCGATCCCTTTTTTTAGGAATCCGTTGAACGTTCACTGCGAGCTTGGCAGAAGTGCCAAGCTCGCAGTGCTGGAGACTTTTGTACAAAAAAATTAATTCAATGTTTTTCTTAATTTATTATCAATTTTAAATAATAATTGTACAAAATAATAATAATAATAATAAATGTTCATCATAAAAATAAAAATATAAAATAAAAAAGTAAATAAACATAAATATTTTTTTTTATAAAATAAAAATATTTTTTTTTTATTTTTTTTATTTGTTTTTAAATTATAATAGAATTTGCAATACACCCTGGGGATTATTTATTATCATTACAAGTTCATTCACTTTTATTATTAAATGCTATTATTTTTACATACGTAAAAATAAGATTGTGTCATGAAAGTAAAATATCCACACAAACTTATAAAAAGAGTCTAAAAGACAATTGTATACAAAACTGATGCTTCACAGCGCAGTTTGATTTTACACTGAATATAAACCCTTTTAACCAAATATTTCCAGTTATTTTATTATTTATACCTATTCTATTCAATTCGAAATATATTATTTAGAATATTTAAATTAATTTATTTTATTACAAAACTGTTTTAAAAAAAAAATGTTTCTTAGTTGTTATGGGTAAAATTTCATACGGTAGTCAACACTGGCCCACCATCGTAAAGTTATATCTTTGTCTTTGTCTAATCCGAGCGATGCTATTGTTCTTGTCTCGCGTGTAAATGAGAC